TCTTGCGTTGCAGACAGACAACGGGAAGGAGTTTGACAACATCGCTGTTCGTAATCTTCTCGCCATACATGGCATGATTTTTCGTCTCACTTGTCCGTACACCTCGCAGCAGAACGGTCGTGCTGAGCGCATCCTTCGCACTCTAAATGACTGCGTTAGGACTCTTCTCTTTCATGCCAATGTGCCTCCACGCTTTTGGCCTGACGCTCTAGCCACCGCTTCTCTCCTCATCAACATCCGCCCATGTCGTACTCGCGGGAACTTTACACCTCACCATCTTCTCTTCGGTGCACCTTCTTCTTATGAAGGGCTTCACATCTTCGGCTGCCTTTGCTATCCTAGAATCGCCGCCACTGCGCCTCATAAACTTGCACCCCGCTCCGTCGCCTGCATCTTTCTCGGCTACCCACCTAACACTAAGGGTTACCGCTACTATGATCCCGTCTCCCATCGTGTTTTCACCTCCCGACACGTTTACTTTGATGAGATGGTGTTTCCATTTCAGCGGCAGGTACCCCCTGTCGTCTCGTCGCCGACGGCCACCGGCGGCCCTTCGACGACCTCGTCAGGTGGACGATCCCGTCTGGCCCGTGGACCGCCTCCGGGCTTTGGCGGTCCCCGCGCCCTCCTATCGGCGCTTGCCCACTCGGCCTCCTCGGCCGGCTCCGACGGCGCAGCCGGCGCCCCGCCTTCACCCGCCGCCCCCGACTTGGGCGCCGCGGGATCGGGCGCTACAGGCTCGGCCGCCTCCTCCGCGGCCTCGACGCCCGCCTCCTCGCCGGCCCTGACGCCGGCTCCCTCGCCGGATCCGACGCCGGCCTCGACGCCGGCCCCCACGCCGGCCACCTCGCCGGCCCCGACGCCGGCCGTCTCGCCGGTGGCTCGGTGGCGCCGCCCGGCCCAGTCACCCGCGCTCGTACCGGCGTTCATCGTCCGAGCCTCCGGTACTCGCGCGACGAGTACGTCCTCGCCGCCTCCGCCACGGAGCCGTCGCCCATTCCTGCGTCTGCTCGCGCCGTCCTCCGTGATCCTCACTGGCTTGCGGCGATGCAGGAAGAGTTCGATGCTCTTCAACGGAACCGCACCTGGACCCTAGTTCCCCGGCCTCCTCGCACCAACGTCATCACCGGCAAGTGGGTCTTTCGCCATAAGACCCGCTCAGACGGTACACTCGAGCGCTACAAGGCTCGCTGGGTGGTCCGCGGTTTCCGCCAGCGCGCTGGAGTGGACTTCACTGAGACGTTTGCCCCGGGTGTCAAACCGGGCACAATCCACACCGTCCTCCAGCTCGCCGTCTCCCGCGGCTGGCCTGTTCACCAGATGGATGTCTCCAACGCCTTTCTCCACGGCCATCTTGAGGAGCAGGTTTATTGTGAGCAACCCACCGGCTTCGTCGACGCCTCACTTCCCGACCATGTGTGTCTGCTGTCCCGCTCTCTTTACGGGCTCAAGCAGGCACCCCGAGCCTGGTACCAGCGGATCGCCAGGTTTCTTCAGACACTGGGCTTCAGCGTTACTCGCTCGGACGCCTCACTGTTCGTCTATCACCACGGTGACACGACTGCATATTTGCTGCTTTATGTCGACGACATCATCCTGACAGCCTCCTCCGCAGCCGTTCTTCAGCAGATTACTCTCCGGCTGCGTCACGAGTTTGCTATCAAGGACCTGGGTGCTCTACATTATTTCCTTGGCATTAAGGTCATTCGACGTCCGGACGGTTTCTTTCTTCATCAGCAAAAGTATGCACATGAGCTTCTTGAGCGTGTTGGCATGCTCAACTGTCATCCTGTTGCTACTCTTGTGGACACGAAGGCCAAGGTCTCTGCACTTGAGGGTTCGCCTGCGTCGGATGCTCCTTTCTACTGGTCTATTGTCGGCGCTCTACAGTATTTGACTCTCACCAGACCGGATCTTCAGTATGATGTATAGCAGGTGTGTCTCCACATGCACGCCCCTCGTGACTCTCATTGGACTCTCGTGAAGCGGATCCTTCGCTACATCCGTGGCATGATGTCCCTCGGGTTGACACTTACGGCATCCACTTCTCTGGGGATGGTGGCCTACTCCGATGCAGACTGGGTTGGCTGCCCCGATACTCGTCGGTCCACCTCTGGCTACTGCGTCTACCTTGGTCCTTCACTCGCCTCGTGGTCGTCCAAGCGACAACCCACGGTTTCGCGCTCTAGCGTGGAGGCTGAGTACCGAGCTGTGGCCAACGCTGTCGCCGAGTGCACCTGGCTACGACAGTTACTTCAGGAGCTACATCACGATGTCTCCCAGGCTACGATTGTCTACAGCGACAACGTCTCTGCGGTGTACCTCTCGGCCAACCCCGTTCATCATCGCCGTACTAAACACATCGAGCTGGACATTCACTTTGTGCGCGAGCAGGTGGCTCTTGGACGCATGCGGGTTCTCCATGTGCCGACCGCTCAGCAGTTTGCTGATGTGTTGACGAAGGGATTGCCGACTTCTACCTTCGAGGAGTTCCGTTCCAGTCTCTGCGTCACTGGCGCCGCTTCGACTGCGGGGGGGGGGGGTGTTGAGTATATTGTGTACGTGTATATTTGTGTGTAGGGCCCACCTCCTGTTTCCTTTGTATAGTTGAGGTTGTGGCCCACCTTTGTACTTATATATACGTGCCTGGTGCACCGATCAATACATCAAGATTGCACAGCCCATATCTTGTCCTTCTACATACAAGCTAGGTTCAAATGAACCAGAGTACACGGGGAAAACAAGAGAAGAGATGCAACCGAAAACACACACACACACACACACACACACACACACACATCCAACAGAACCATCGGAAGACCCGCCGAGAAAAGGGCACACAGAGAGAAGAAGGCCTTTTGACAATCCGAAGCTGGACGCACCAACACCACCGACCGTCATCACAAATCTCATCAGCACAACCCGCCACGAGGAGGACCTCAACTTACATCTTCATCTGACCAAGCAAGGAGAGCCTTGAACGTTGGCCGTCTGGTCGCCAGCCAACAACACCCAGCAGAGGTAGAGGTGTCATATGGGAACGAGGTGATCCATTGAGTAGGATAACGACCCCGCTAACCCGGCTCCGGATGAAAATCAGAACCAATCCAGAGCAAGGCTGAGCCATGATCTCGCATACAGAGCACCACCTCCTCGCCAACAAAGCATAAACCACCATCAGCGCCAAGTCGGCCGCGCCACCACAACCGTCAAGCCCGCAGCGAGCAGCCACCACAGAGACCAACCGAGCCTAACACAGACGATGCCTTCAAGAAGGGATGCGACACAATGTGCGCCGCCATCGTCCGTTCCAGATGGGCTTGGAACATGGGTTTTCCCCTGGGATGTGAAGGGGTAGTCACCATGACAACGCCGCCTCCAAGGAGGTTTGTGGCGCCCGCAGGCGTCGCCGGCGCCGGCTCCGACAGGAGCAGGGGCTTTCGCCCAAATGAGTAGACCACCTCCAATAAGCACCGAATTGATCTCGTAGCACCGCTCCCTGCACCACCACAGAGAAGGGCCACTGCAGCCCCATCGCCACACATGACCAAATCCGGGTCGCTGCAGGCCAGATCCAGCAGGATCCAACCTGCCCCTCGCCGCTCCCCACCGGATCGGGCCAAGCCGAAGCTGACAGGCGCGCCGCCCACGCCAGCGCCACCAGAAGGCAGAACCACAAGCCAGAGCGGATGGCGGCGCCTCGGGCAAGGGAGAGCACTGCCAACCCGCGCCTCACAGCGACCTCCGCTGAACACATCTGAGCCGAAACCAACAGCCATCCCCGATGCCCACCGGTCGCCAACAGTAGGGAGACGCTGATTCGGGGAAGGCCAGCGGAAGGGAGCCGCGAACGCATCCGCCCCACTGACTCCGACCACCACCAGCAGAAGCAACGCACACCGAAGTCACGCCGCGCCCCCCGCCGCCCCACGGAGCTCCCCCGGCCCGCGAGCGGTCTGCACGAGGAACGACGGCCCGCCGCCGCCAGATCCGCGCGGGCTTCATCCGGCAGAAGCTTTTGGCGGCGGCGGGAGGAAGGGGGTGGCTATAAGGGGAGGTTCGGCCGGAGGGGAGGGGGTCGCCGCCCGAGCCGCCCTGGGGAGGACGGCGGGGGGGGGGGGTGTTCAAGTCCTTCTTTTCTCTTTCGAAAAGTTCTGTACTACGTTTGGGCGCTCGTTTTTCCAATGTACACAAAACAGTCTTCTACGGCAATTGTTATGCACTGCTTACTACTCCCTTCATTCCTAAATATAAGTCTTTGGAGAGATTCCATTATGATCCACATACGGATGTATGTAAATGCATTTTAGAGTGTAGATTCACTCATTTTGCTTCGTATGTAGTCCATAGTGAAATCTCTACCAAGACTTGTATTCCTCCGTCCGGAAATACTTGTCTTGGAAATGGATAGAAATAGATATATTTAGAACTAAAATACATCTAGATACATCCATTCCTCGGACAAGTATTTCCGGACAGAGGAGTATTTAGGAACGGAGGGAGTACATAGAAGCAGGAGTACACATTATATCTAGAATTTGGCTGTGCTATATTACAAGTCAGCAAAAGTGCCGTTTATCGAAAAACACACACATTATATATATATATCTAAAAAATAAACTAACACTCCCACTGCTATTAATTCAGACCTTGCAACTATCAAAAAGGGTACCATCCTTGATTCCTTTGCGTAACTTTGTCAATTATGCATAATAGATCAGCTCCCTTAGCACACGAGGCATACAGCTGTTCAGTATCGATCCAAACAAAATATATACAACTAACAGAGATGCGTACAGCTCTTCAGTACTGATCCATGTATAAACAAAATGAAGAACACACAAAAACTGGGCAGAGAGTGGACTTGATGCAATTACCAAGGTCCGATCGAGCACCCAAACTTCCACAAGATCCCGTCCAGCTCTTCAGAAACGGACGGCTTCCCTACCTTTCTTCCTCCAACGACCCTCAACACGTGTCCCCCGTCTTGAGTGGCGGCCATGGCGACGCTCGGCGGCATGCTTGCCGCTGCCATCCTCAAGGTGGTGGGCGACCAGGTTGGTTCTCTGATCGGGGGTCAGATCGCGCTGCAGATGAACTTGAATAACGACCTGAAGAAGATGAAGATGGCGCTGGAGAGTGTCGATGCCGTTCTCGAGGACGCCGAGAGGCGGTCCATCACGGATAAATCAACGCGTCTTTGGCTGAAGCGGCTCAAGGACTTCATGTATATCATTTCGGACATGATTGATGAGTTCGAAGCAGACACACAAGCCATCACCCAGCCGTCTGCGCGCAAGGTACGCATTTGTGCAGTAAATTGACGCAGTTCTTTAATTTAATTTGTTAGTATGGTACTCTTCTCTTTTTGAGAAACAAGTGATTTACGTCTGCTGCATCCAGATGCACATCTGGGTGCTGAGCGGTAGCTTGCTTGGCTACAAAATGAGCTGCCATATAGGTATTTGAAAACAATTTGGAAAGAATTATTTAAACATACTGAGCTATTGAATCTGCTAGTAGATTGTTTGGCTTGGTCTTGGATCTATGATTATCCACATCCACACCAACACTTTTTTTTAACAAAGGACGGATTTTATCGACTTAAAATGAAATATCAAGCGGACACAAACTCAATGTGCACACACTCTGCTTCTTAATAGCTAGTATGCACACAGCTAATAAACAACTCCACATCTTTACAACACTTGGAAATCTGTTATCCAGTCTCAATAATAATAATTTGGGCACCAGATCCTTGGATGAACTAGACATGGTTTTGACAGGCCTCAGCCTTCGGGCCGGGCATCTGAAACATCTCCATACCATTTTTCTAGCTCAAGTTCTCAGCACATCATTAAAGGTGGCATTGGTCTTAACCTTGGCAGTTACAGTCGGAGGTTCTTAGAAATAAGAGGATGTGCCTCTTAATGTTTTAACAAAATTTTCTGTTGGCTGAATGCATTTGTAATATCCTACTATACTAAACTGTTTGGTGCTGGCCATTCTGTATTTTACTAACAAAGCAACTGTCTAGCAGTTCTCCTTCAAAAAATATTTGGCGAACATGATCCCTTGTCTCACAATTGGCCCCAACATTACAATGGCCAATAGGATGAAGAACATGAGGGACGACCTGAAGGTCATAACAGATCAACACAAGGAATTCAAGTTAACAGACTGCACTAATGCCAATGAGCCAAAGGTGACTGATATACGGGAAACATCATCAACCCTGGAGACACAAATCATTGGGAGGACTGAGGAGAGAGATATAATATTGGCTTCTTTATCTGAGAGCATGACAAAGGATATCACAATCCTTCCTATATATGGCATTGGAGGCCTTGGCAAGACAACCTTGGCAAAAATGGTTTACAATAGTTCCCAATTCAATGAATACTCTCAAGTGTGGGTTTACGTGTCTCAGACATTTGATTTGATCAAAATTGGAAACTCTATAATATCACAACTATCAGAGAAAGATAAAGAGAGTGGGTACACTGGAAAGCAGATGATCCATAATTCCCTTGAAAAGCTCCTTGCCAACAAGAAGATTCTGATTGTTTTAGATGACCTGTGGGAAGAAAACATATCTCGGTTGGAAGAACTGAAAGATATGTTAAAAGTTGGGGAGAGCAGTAAGGTGATTGTTATAGCAACCACACGAAGTGAAGGTATTGCAAAGAAAATGTCTACCATCCAACCATACAAATTAGCACCATTGACTGATGATATGTGTTGGTCTATTATAAAGCAAAAGAGTGCATTTGAATCTAGAGGTGACAAAGAACAATTGGAGGAAATAGGGAAGGTCATTGCAATGAAGTGTGCGGGTGTGGCTTTAGCAGCTAAATCACTTGGACACACGCTGCAATCTATGAAGTCTGGTCAATGGGAATCAGTGAGAGATAGTAATATATGGACCGCACCTTCTTTGGAAGATACATCTTCTACACAAGTGCTTGCATCACTGAAGTTAAGCTATAGTATTTTGCCTTCGTATCTGAAGCTATGCTTTGCCTATTGTGCAATATTTCCAAAAGGTCACAAGATACTTAAAGATGATCTTATTCATCAATGGGTGTCTCTTGGTTTCTCTACTCGGGAGCTTGGTGAGAAATACATTAGTCAGCTTTTGGGGCTCTCTTTCCTTGAACATTCAAAGCCATCATCGGTTAGTTATGCATATATTTTATGTTTTTATTGGTTATTTTGTTGGAACTAGCGTAAGGCAACTCAATTATAATTCAAAAATTGTCCGGTACAATTTGGACTAGTATATCACATAGTTGTTGCTTACAACACAACTTTTTCAAGTAACTTATTAACAATATTTCAGTGACTGATACACACAAATGCAACCCAACATATCCCTAGATTTGGTAAAAGAAAAAAACACATCTCCCTAGAATACTAGATTATTAATTCTACTGCAACATGCTAGAAGAAAAAAGTCAATACACAGTTGTAGGTAATGCCCACCCTAAGGTCTTTAGTTCGCATCCACATGTGGTATATACAGTTGCATAAACAGTCTCTTATACAGGCTATCAGGCTTACTGTGACTAACATGATTATTTGGGCGAGAAGTTAACCCCGCTGTTCTTTTTTTCAAATATTGTTTTAGAATCCAGTTTTTAGAAAATTAGTCCAGAATAGAATATACACCAACATATTTCGATTCACCGTAGCAGATATAGCTATTCAGGACCAAACAACCCATCTGATACGGGTTTGGAAACCGTCATGGATAATCATCACTGAAATAGAACTGTCTCCATCCGCAAAAAAGAAAAAAAAAAGAAACATAACTGTCTCGGACAGACGTTATAAACACTAGCTATCACTGGCGTCTAGCAGGTCAACTGACGGTTTTACCAGCCGGCGGTACTCTTGGATCAGTGATAGCTCCAGCTACCCGCCAGTGAGCACATGCATCAGGCGTCGCCCGCCTTGATAATTTTTTTTAAACGGAGGCAAAAACTTGGACTCATCCCATTAATAAAGAAGAAGGATAACAAATTAACCGATTAATTAACAGAAACTTATCACCCGCCTATGATAAGGTTTTTTTTTCCTGAAATGGAGGCAAAAACTTTGCTCCATCTCATTAATAAAGAAGAAGGGTAATTAATGGAAACGTGAGCGAAAACTGCTACAACACGCCGACAAGAAATGGATGTGGATGATGCAAGTTATCTCAAATGGGCCCGAGGCCGCCTACCACCTGCCTATGCATGGAGGACAGGGACGATGAACTGCAGACCTCCACACCGTTCTTGTTGCCAGCTGCCAGGTCATCATCCCTAGAGGCGAGGATGAAGAAAAGTGCTGTGGTGTTTCCATTTTCCAACATTTTCTGATTTTTGTGGTTTGTTTCACGGGTGTTGGCGGTTATTTCTTAAGTTTATCAAATAATTATTTTCCTTCCCCGGTTTCCTTGAAATTCACAAATTTTGTAATTTCTTATTTTTGATGTAAAATCATGTCTAACAGGCCGTCGCTAGCGCAAAACAACCATCACATCATTGAATTTTTGTATCATTTCGAGACACAAAGTTCTGAATCTAAACATGCGAGCAAAGGCCGGGGCTATCCCCATTTTTTGAGTTTTTTTTCCTATACTTGGGAAATAGCATGGGACCAAAAATAAAATTTATTATTTAATAAAGGAGTTATGCATAAAATGCCTTAAATTTGAGGAATTAAGTAATGCGTGCTCTTAATATAATAAAAAACTGAAATTCTGACACTGCTCAATGCTTTTGTTGCAGATTGTTGCGCTATATGATGAAGATATTATATTGTTGACCATGCATGACCTGGTGCACGATTTGGCAAGATCGGTCATGGACGATGAAATTATTTTGGTTGTCAAAGGCAATAACGCTGAAGAAAGCTGCTACCACTACGCATTACTCGATGATTGTAGCAAGCCATTGGGATCGGACTTATCCAAGATAAGGGCGTTACGTTTTATGGGTTGTGACAAATATAAGCTTCATGATGACGCATTTTCATCTGCCAAGTCTTTGCGTGTCTTGGACTTAAGTGAGTGTACCATACATAAGCTGTCATACTGTATTGATGACCTGAAGCAATTAAGATATCTTAACACTCCAAGAGTCCAAGATGCAAAGATTCCAGACAGTATCACCAAGCTCTCAAAATTGATTTACCTGAACCTTCATGGATCTCTTACAACCTTAGCACTACCAGAGTCAATTGGAGAAATTGAGGGTCTAATGTATATTGATTTGTCAAGTTGTTTCGGAATTACAAAACTGCCAGAATCATTCAGGAGGCTACAAAAGTTGGCGCATTTGGATTTATCAAATTGCTCGTCTGTTGAAGGAATATCGGTGTTCTTGGAGAGCCTCACACAACTAGAGTATTTGAACTTGTCATGCTGCCCACACATTGGAGATATACCAGAAGTTCTGGGCGGCCTATCCAAACTGCAGTATTTAAACTTATCAAACAGCTCATATCTTGAATGTGGTAAAGAAACAGAATTTTTGGGTGCCCTCACCAAACTCGAGTATTTGAACTTATCTTCATGGAATTGTGAACTCAAAAAGCTCCCTGAATCTCTGGGTGGATTCAGTCAACTCAAGTACTTAAACTTATCAGGTTGGCGAGATATGAAAAAATTGCCAAGATTATTCGGGAGCTTAAAAAATCTGCTCCATCTTGACTTATCACATTGTTCTATGATTGATGATGTACATGAAGCTTTGGTCGGTCTTACTGGTCTGCAATATTTGAATTGCAGAGAAACACACGTCAGTTCCCTGCCAGATGATCTGACCAAGCTCCGGTATCTAAATCTATCTAGACTAAGAAACATACCTGTAGATTTCTCGGATGATCCCATCAAATATGAATTCAATAGTCTCCCTGCAGAAAACTGGGACAGTATCGTCAACTATATATGCAGTAATCTTTCAGAACTGGAGCACTTGGACTTGTCTGGTAATATTTATATTGAAAAAATACCTGAAAGTATTTGTAGCCTAACGAAGCTGCATACATTGGACCTCTCATATTGCGATTTGAGAATGTTACCAGAAAGTATAAGTGCAATTGGTAGTTTGAAGTTTCTTTATTTAAAGGATTGTTGCGGTCGTCGTGGCATACCTCAACTCGGTAGCAGTGCAATATCGTTACCGCACTTTGTGGTGCGTGCTGCTGCTGATGGATCTAGCAGCAATCTTGTCCTACTAAAGCCCACAGATCCTTCTGAGCTGGAGATAACTGAACTTGAAAATGTGACGTCCGCAGGAGAGGCACATAGTATAAAATTAATGGAAAAGCGAAGAATTCGGGAGTTGAAACTGGAGTGGACTGAAGGTGTTGACAGATTTGTGGATGACAAAATGTTGCTGGAAAAACTAGTGCCTCCAAGCACACTGAGTAGATTGGAGATATGTGGTTACAGCAGTGTCATCTTTCCAGGCTGGGTAGTGGGCCAACTACCAAACCTGGACTCACTGGTTCTCAGAGAAATGGCAAATCTAGAAGAGTGGGACATTTCATACTCCACCGGTGAGGAGAACGTGTTAACACGAGTGCAAATACATGATTGCTCCATGCTAAGGATGAAAGGGCCTCTGCCTAAAGCTAAAGAGTGGGAGATAATATGCAGTGATAATGTGTTATCATCATGGGATGAGTGCATTGTGCCACACACCTGTGCTTCCTCATCTTCTCCAGTAACTACTAAGCTATCAGTTAGCGATTGCAAGGGGCCTCACCAGTGGAGGTGGCTTCAACACTTCCCTGGACTCCCTTCTTTGTCTATTAACAATTGTGGCGATCTAACCGGCTCACCAGATATCATCCAACTACTATGCTCTTTGGAGGAACTATGGCTAGAAGGCGAAGACATGGAAGAACTGCCAATATGGTTGGGTGAGCTCCCATCTCTAAAGAATCTGACTATATTTAATAGCAATGGTGTAAAGGAGTTAAACGAGAACATGAGGCAACTCACAAAGCTTGAATCGCTACAACTTGCGTTCTGCGAAAGCATATCTGCAGTGCCACATTGGCTAGGCGAATTGACCTCTCTCAAGACACTTTGGATACATAACAGTGGAGGCTTGAGGTCTTTGCCGGCAAGCATACAACAACTCACCAGCCTCCAGGAAATAAAAATTATTAAGTGCCATGCATTAGAGCACGTGGTTGCTGAAACAGAGGAGGGAAAGATGAAGCTGGCTGACGACCAACAAAGGGAATCTGCTCTGCCCACCTCTCTAAAGAGACTTTGTCTGAGTGGATGTGATGGTATCAAGTCTTTTCCTGAGGGAATACATCAACTCACTAACCTACAGGACCTAGAAATAACTAGGTGCTCTGGACTAAAGGAATGGTGTGAATTAGAGGAGACCAAGACCAAATTGGCTTGCATAGAAACGAAGGTATGTGTCCTGCCACGCCCTTTGTCATACTAATCTTATTTCGATATGCTTCATCTTTCTTCTTTTCTTGATGTATTCAGTCATGCATTTCTTATCGGGTTCCTTCATGCATAAATGTAGAGATATTCATCTACTTTGCTTTGCAATTTCCCTTTTGTTTAAAAGCACCTTCTTTTGCAAAATATAACAATAGCACAAAGACGAAATTAATTTCTAGAGCACGTCTGGTGACGGTGAACCACTGCCTATGTAAGATGGGCACAATAGCTGACTTAGGATTTTGTTTGCAGCACAGGCCAGTAAGTGTGTTACACTTGGAACCATTATTTCTTGATCTGAAGAAAACATCTTCCTTGTGTATTCTGAACTAAATGGAATCTAATAAAAGAATTGTCACCATTCATTTTGCAGCATATTTGGTTCTAGACAGTGTGCATATACTGCACAACCAGGTGGCCAGGTTGCAACCTGAATCAACCTGCAAGATTTTGTTCTGGGTGATTTAAATTGTTGGAGTTGAAGAAGGACCTGAAATTACAAGCCATGGTGACGTGAAACTCGTTTGCAAGACCTGCAGCATGTGACTTTGAAGCTGCAGGCCATCGCCTGTACTAGTGTTTTGTTCTATAGGGTCT